GGAGATTCAGTCAGAGATGCAATAAAAGTGTAGTGCCTTGTAGGTTATTTTAAAGACTCTGGCTTTAACTGAGAGGGGGCTGGGAAGCCAGTGGAAGTTATGAAGAGCAAGGTGGTATGATCTAACTAACGTTTTTAAAATGTCTCATTCTCACTGCTATCTTAACGGACTGAAGGTGAGGGAGAGTGAGAGAAACAGGTTACTGCTCTAATACAGGTGAGAGATAATGGTGGCTCAGAAGACAGTGGTATTAGTGGAGGTAATAAGAGGTCTATTTACGGAAATATTTTAAAGACAGAGCCAAAGTAATTGCTTACAGATTAGATATAGGTGTGGAATAAAGAGAAGAGACCAGCACAAACCCAAGGTTTTTGGCTTCAGCAACTAGAAAAATGATGTTTCCATTAACTAAGACGGAGAAGATACGGAAGGTACAGTTTTGTTTTGCTTTTTTTGGAGAGGACGAGTAGGAAATGAAAAGCTCAGTTTGAACATGTTAAGTTAGACATACAAGTGGTGATGTTAAATGAGCATCTCTTTATGTGAGTGTTGAGTTACAAGAGAGGTATAAGCTAGATTTACATCATCTGTAAATCAGTTGTATATAGGTGCTATTTAAAGCTTTGGGGGTGGAAAGAACTACCAAGTGAATGTGGATAGAAAAACAAGAGGCCTAAGGTCTAACCCTGGGGCACTTTTGTATTAAGGAGTCAAGAGACGGGAAATTAGCAACCCTCAGGAGAACAAGAAAGAATGGGAAGTGAAGTTGGAGAAAAATCAGAAAGATGTAGTGTCTTGAAAGGCAAGTGAAGGAAGTATGTTAAGCAGGTGGGAGTTATCAACTGTCAAATGCCAGTGAGAGACCACAGGTAAATAAGTTAAGGACTATGAACTGACCACTGAAATTTGCAACATGGAGGTCATTTCTGACACTGAAAGAAGAGTACTTCAGGAAAAATGGCAAAGGTAATGTGTGACAAAAGTGGGCTTAAGGGAAAGTAGGAGAAAAACAGTAGCCAGCAAGAATAGACAACTCACATTTAAAACTGTAGTTTTCTTGCTCTTCTGTTTAATTAAGTTTAAGTAAGGCTAAATTTCATGTTAAATTTATATACGTATGACAGGACTCCACTACAGTATGAGGTAGAGAAAAATCCATATGGTTTCACAGAAGTAAAGGCAGAAAAGTGTTTCCTATAATAAGATCACAGGAAGAGGTCTTTAAGTTCATTAGCAAATATGGGTTGACAACCCACCATAACCAGGCAAATTTTGTTTCAGCACAAGATGTCGACAGGAAATGTTCCCAAAGACCAGACATGGAGTCAAGTTACACGGCTACCAGCAACCTATTTTGTCTTACCGGAGGTAGAACAGAACCTTAAGGAAAGAAAAAAGTTAGGGAACGGATCTGGTCTCCAGTCCCCAAAAAAGAGTAAGGAGAGATAAAGTGAAATGTGTTGCCACTTTTAAATGCATCAATTCATTAATGACCTACAGTTTTATCTATGGATCATACTCAGGACATAAGAAACATAAAAATATCACAGTATTAATTTCAAATTTTATGCTTCTATGATTCCCTTTTCTTTTGTACTATTTCATTAACTCTTCAATCGGGCACTCTGAAGACCACTAAGTGCTCTTCTGAATATGTGGCTTCTGGGCTGAAACCTCAGCAATTCTAACTGTATGCCTCAATAATGCAAGTAAATACTGTTACTAAACTATACCAGAGCAATGTGCATTCAATATAGATTTCTTCTGTAGAAAGGACTCTGGATTAAATACAAACTTCCAAAAGCCATCACGACAAAGACCTCACACAAACATACTCAAAACACAAACTGAATTAGAAATTTAAACAAATTAGTATATCTGCATGAAATAAGCACATGTGATAATCTAAATGATCAGTCTAGACATTTTTAAGTGGTATTTTTTTACAAATAAATTACTATAAAAATTTTCTCAAAATTTTAAATGTTTAGATGATGAAGCTATTATGCTATTTCTAGTAGAGTATTACATTAGACTTAATTCTCTGGTTCTGAGTTATAACTCTAAATACAAAATGAGTACCAACTACCTCAATCCATTAGGATGGCAACTATCAAAAAAACAGAAAGTAGCAAGTGTTGTTGAGGTTACAGCAAAGTCAGAACCTTTGTGCACTGTTGGTGGGAATATAAAATGGTGCAGCCACTGTGAAAAAGTTTGGTGGTTCCTCAAAAAATTAAAAATAGAATTATATCTGGCAATTCTTCTAGGTATATACCCAAATGCATTGACAGCAGGGTCTCAAAAAGATGTATTAGTACACCAATGTTCACAGCAGCATTATTCACAATAGTTAAAAGGAAAGCAACTCAAATGTTCATTGACAGATAAATGAATAATCAAATGCAGTACACACACACACCCCCACAATGGAATACTAGTCAGCCTTAAAAAGGAAATTCTGACACAATTGATAACATGAATGAACCTTGAGGATATTATGCTAAGTGTAATAAGCCAGTCACAAAAAGACAAATACTGTATGATTTTACTTATAAATCAAAAGCATAGAGAAAGTAGAATGGTGGTTGCCAGGGACAAGAAGAAAAGAGCAAACGGGGAGTTCTTGTTTAATGGGTACGCAGCTGCAGCTTTGCAAGATGAAGAGTTCTGGAGATGGACGAGGGTGATGGTAACACATTATGAATATATTTAATACTACTGAACACTGTACACTTAAAAATAGTAAGATGTTAAATTTTATGTTTATGTGTATTTTACCACAATAAAAAAAAATTAGAAAAAAATGAGCTCAGAGGACATAGAGTTTAACGCTAAATATTCTAGCAGCTGACATCATGAAAAATTACTCTATCAGGGTCTCATAAAAGTTAACACGTAGTTTGGGTTTCAAAAAGAAAATACATATAGAGATAGAAAAAAGAAAACATAATGAGACAAAAAATAAAACCCACGAAAAAGGTTTTTTTATTCCTAGCTCAGCTAAAAGTAATCTTTGTTGAATATTTAATCTTTCTCCTTTCTCACAAGAAAGGAGCTAAGGCAATAACAGACATCTATGCTTTAAAATCCAGCCCAACAGCTCATACCTGATGTCCACTCTAAGTTTAGGGTAATACTGAGACACGTATTTTCTGATGAGACTGTAGGAAGCTTCTTTAGGTTCACAAAGGCGAGTAAAGGCCAATGGGAGGATATCTTCCAATTTTACTTGTGGTTCTGGATCCACTGCAGAGCTCCTGTCCTGAAATGTAATATCGAAAATTATCATCATTAGAGAATATAGATTTCTGTTCAAATGCTTCTATATTCAACTCCAGGGCTTTTCTAAGTTGACTGCCAAATCGACTGACAATAGAAAATTATCACTTCTTTTCAAATTCAAACAAATCATAACACAGTTGTATAATGTTACTTGCATGGCAATTTAAGAGAAAAATTTCAGATTGAGTTAAAAATACATATAAAAATAAAAAAGAATGGGGTGGCTCCATAGTGTAGTGGTTAGCACGTCTGCTTTACACGCAGAAGGTCCTGGGTTTGCGCCCCAGGTGGAGCCACGGACCATATCCCGAGTGCCCCAGGCCTCGGGTGCACGCCACGAGCGTGTGGGAGGAGACACCCCGCCTTCAGAGATCCAGTTCTTAAGGGAAATGACAACATCCACAGGTCAGGGGTGGAAGGAATTAAAAGAGGGGAAAAAAAATAAAAAGGAATGGTAGACTTTACTTAAAGGTCTTAATTCAGTCTTAGCCTTTAATAACAAATGAAAAGGATCATGCAGCACCAAAAAGCACTATACAGAAGTTCATTTTGAAAGCATTTGCTAGTTTTATGAAAAAAGCATAAAAATTTTCAGTTGTAAAAACAAAGATGTAGAGAATATTCATTTCAATTACTGACACAGAGAATATACTATTTACTTCACTTTATTATTGTACAAATACTTTCCATAAATGAAATTATGTACCTTGGGGAGGAGTGTTAGTATTTACAAAAAAAGAGAAGAAAAACTGGCTCTGGGTAGTTGTGGAATCTAATATTTAAGTGAAAATGTACTTGTATGATTATTCTTGTTTAAAATATATTTCACAAAAAGCAGAATAATTCATACAGCTGGCCATAATTTAACATAGAGCAGTGAGGTCCACAGACTCGGGGGCTGGAGTGCTTAGATATGCACACTGTCTATCCTACTCACTAGCTGGCAATAATGGGCAAATTACTTGTAACCTCTCTAGGCCTTAGTAGAAAGGATAACTTGGCACAGTGCCTGGCACAAAGATGCTATTTTGAGTAGTGGTAATAATATTACAGTGCACGAACTATGGTACAGACTTCTTACCTTTCTGTTTCTAGATTTCTGTGGGGTTTTTCTTGATTTCTGGACCACCACAAAACTCCCAGAAGCACCTTTTCCTTTTACCTAGAGTAAATGAGTTTTAGTTGCAATAACCAATATTTTTGTTTTAAATTATTCTGGTATTCATATCTAAAACTTTATACCAAACTAAGCAAATTAAAGGGCATAATGATACAAGAACTAATATAAAATGCTATTAAACTCTTAAGAGGAAAAAAAATGGATTAGTCAAAAGACTTGGGATTGAGTCCTACTTACGTACCATCTATTCAATATTGGACAACCCTGTAAACACTCTGAACTTTTGCTTCCTCATCTACAAAACTGGGAGAGATGCTCCTGTGATACCAGATTAAACAATCTACTATAAAATTAAAAAGAAAAAAAAGTTCCATGGAAAGAAGGGGAAAATGAGATAACCTCTATCTTGAAGGAAGATAGCTCCTTGGCAAAAGTTCACAGCCTACTTGATTCTCAGGCCATAAGCTTCCCCCAATTTGCCTGTTAGATTCCTGCATATGGGAAAGGTTATCTAATTATTTTTAGACATTGCATGTGATGGTATGTAAGTCTTACCACATATTGCCATAGTTTACAAAGCGCTTTCATAGGGCTTTAAAGTTGATTTACATTAATTAGAGTCCTATACTTCAGCTTTACCTACACCACTATGAATATAACAATACAGCTGATATGTTTTCAGCTTATAAATTGTTGTGTAAGCATCAAACTGAGGGTTAGTCTATAAAGCAAGAATAAGTCACAAACACTATTTTCATAGAGAAAAACACAAAGCCAGCTCATAAACTGTGCTGACACGTACTATAAATCTTTGTTTCTAATTATATTGGTTAGATAATATCTTCTAATCAATAATTATTTTAAAGGCCATTTAAATATCAGTTTAACAACATTTTGAGAAAGCTAGAACATAAACGCCACACAGCAGGAGTCTGTTTTATTCAATGATGGACCTCCAAGCACCTGGCACACAGGAGATACTCTATATACTTATGGAATTAGGTACCTGCTGAAGGTTCCTAAACAGAGTTTAAATGCCTGAATGGTACAAAATTTTATATAAATCATACAATGTAGAAAGGTATAGAAGAAAGGCAAGAAGACTCTGGGAATGCATGAACTAGGTTCTTAGAACTATCTTTTCCCACTCTGTGGGACCCTGGTAGTTATTTCATCCCTCTGGACCTATGAAGGTTTAGGAAAGATAAAGTTTATTCTAGCTTTAGATTTTCATGATTATAAGTAATGTTTTGCTGTACTATGCAAAGTAACAGATATATCTTTGAAATCGATATTGGCTTAATACTAGTCACAATTTATTCAGGCTTCTCCGATGCTCCTAACAAACTTTAATAGTTTTACATACTATAGATAAGGTGAATCTATCTACAAAGCTAACATAATGGTAACAAGTCTAATCACATAAATCAGCCTTTAAAACTAACAAACCTAAGACAAGAGCAATTACCTTTTTTGCTGCTACAGTGGTAGAATTCCTTAACCTTGCTTTTCATCTTCACTACTACATGATCTGAAGCACAAGCAGCCCCCAAAGAAAATCCAATTAAAAATACAAGCATCTAGAAAATAAGTACACTATCCTATTGCTTCTGCTCTCTAGAACAGTTATTAAAGGTAACTGGCACCAGTGATTTTGAAACCTAGTCTCAAATAATAAAACTAGGTCAAGCTTAAGTATTTCATCATATGTTTAGCTTATTTTTAACAAAAGAGATACCAAAAGCCTAAATGTTACTAAATATAAAATTATGTATCTTGGAATTATGAAGCTAATACATGTTGGAATGATCTTATTACCAACAACTATTTAATACCTGTTTGATGACACCTCTATTTAATTCTCTTTTCAGTGCTTGTTTAAGGAGGTAGCCTCTTCTCTCCAGCTCCAGAGAAGGGTACTTATGGATGATGTATTTTCGAATAGCAACAACTGATGCACCACTCTTCTGGAAGCACGCCTAGAAAACAGATTTATTTATCAAACCATACATGTTAAACTAGCAGTTTTTCATTAGACAGAGAAAACATTTTCAAAATAAATTACTTTGGAAGTAAACGTGATAATGGATGATAAAAATGGCAGAAAAGAATAAACAGTATTTCAGGTAACCAGTTCATGGCTGTGAGGAAATGAAGAATTAGAACACTTCTGCAACAATAACTTAAAATTGTTCAAAACGTCAAAGAGAAGAGAACATGTGAACATTCTGTGTGTTAATGAAGAAGCTCCTTCCATTTAAATTCTATTCTATATTTAGAAAAAAGATTGTTAGCATTAAAATGAGGAAAGCAGAATGTAGGATCACAAATCTGGCCCATTTATGGAATGAGTTTTGGCACACCAGGACCGATATTTCTCTGAAGGTTTCGTATGTCAGTAGAGGACATAAGCAAAGATAATCTGAATAGATGGCATAAAACTAGGTTTTATGGCAAAGTCTTTACAGGGAGTTTTAGGTAACAATGAGGACATTTAAAGTGCCCTCTTCTATTTTATTTCTCTATATTCCATTTGACTAATGCCCATGGGAGATTTAAACAGGTCAGTATGTAACAAAGGCAACAAAAATTTGTCAAACACTTTACGTTTTGAAGCACATTTAAATAGCATCTGCTATTTTTACCTCATGGGCTAGTCCACTAATTTTGTGTTGCCATCGTCCATAAACTGAATGCAGCATTTACACATTCTCAATGGATAAAGGCTTCGTTAAATGTTATTTTATACACTTTGACAATAAAGAAAAATAACTCACAGACAGACGGACCAGAAAAGATTGTACAACGCAAAACAAGTTGTGTTAATATGGTTCACCTACTTGAAGTAAATGTCTCTGACCTATTACAACCTATTGTTTACTCCTGATCTTTTAAGAAAAACACAAAGGAAAGAAAATCAGGAAAAAAAAAAAGACTATTGCTAAAACAATCCCTTGCTCTACCAAACTGATGAGATTGAAGTAGACATCAGGACTTTTATTTGATTCAGAAAATGATATCGGTGGTCTGAAGTCACGACTTGTTACAACACTACATGGAATACAAGTTATATACATATGCACAATCATTACTCTTTAGGCCTAATTATACTGTTTTAATTTTTCATTTTACTATTTTAAAATTTTAGTCCCTTCTCCAGCCCCACTGTAGCCCTGCTCCCCCAAACCTAGGCTGACGTGGTCATGAAGTGAAACCCTTGAAGAAAGACTACACGAAGAAAAGAGATCTCACTGTAGTCACGCTATCTACACCAGGGACGTTTTCTTAACGCGTTGAGAGCACCCCTGGAAGCGTGCAGGGAGAGTTCCGAAGGCAAACCTTTTCTACTTTATGTGTCGGTGCTGTCTTCTCACAGTCTGAGCATGACCACCAGGCTGCTCCTATCTATGCACACCACCCTTGGTAAAACTGATCGGTACCTTTCTTTCCAATTCTGACTCAGGTCCTAGCCAGAGGACTCCTGAAATGAGGAAGTCTATGGCTTCTATGTTAGCTCCCTTTATCATCTGACCATGTGAAATAAACGAGGCAAAATTAACCAGAAAGCTTTACACAAAAAAGGCAACGTTAGATTAGAAAGATAACCTTAAAAGTTAAAATAATACAACTATACCTGATGATCACATAAGCTAATGAAAGTCAATGGATTAGAGCAAAGTCATGAAGCTATGCAAGGAGAAGAATTTTTTCCAAGTACTTTGGAATAGCTGAGTGATTAAGCAAAGTAGTAATGTTTCTAAGGGTTTCTTACAGTTCAGGTGTGAAAGATAACCACTACCAATATCAGACACTCAGCTTTGAAAATGGATCTAAAAACAGTATATTTTTTAAAATAAAAATTCTCAATGCTATTCAGTTACCCTGAATCACAATGAGATTGCATAAGGACAAAGAACCTGTTTGCCTCATTCTACGCTATGTCACTAGTAGAGCTGCCTGACACTGAGAAGTTAGCCCTTAAATATTTGTTGAATGAATTAACATGTTAAACCTTCAAATAAAAACTATATACTCGACCAATAAACTGTAAAAAATAAAAAAACTCTAAAGTTAAAAATACTTGTTATAGTAAATTTGAATTTAAAAAAATTAACAGTGCTCACCAAAAGTGATTATATTATAAAAAACATGAACTTCATAATGGTTTTCTTCTATTTAAATCTCTTTTAGGAAGCAGAGCAAGATTTCTGGTGTCTGGACAGGAATATGCCATTTTCAAATAAGCAAAAGACAAACAGAATAAATCTAAGATGAACTGCTTGAAATAAAAACTTGCCTTAATGGCCTCCGTTAGGATTGCATCCATCTTGGGACGTGGGGAGGAAGCCATCGGTGTTTGTTTCTGGGCCCTGGCTAGCTGGCTGGCAGAAAGGGTAGCCCAGGAAGGTATTGTTTTTTTCACTTTCTTCTCCTTTTCTTTAGACTGATCTTTCTCACTTTAAAACAAAGAGTAGTTATTACGCAAGATGAACTCTCCAGAAAGAAGCATAAAGTCAGAAAAGGAAAAGACCAGAGAAGGATAAAAAATAATGTCTTAATTTACGTCCACACTAAGGTGACATGTAAAATAAACAAAATTTTATAAAATAAAACTTTTAAAAATAGGGTACTATAAATGAACCAAAAAGGTAAGTTTTCTCTTAGGTATAGGAGAAAGGAGTCATATAAATTTGCACTGGTATAATCGGCCAGTACATAAAAGAAATGTATTCTAGTAACAACTACAACAGATGCAATTTAGCACAGTGGAAAGAGCTCAAGCTCTGAAGTCAGAAAACTTGGGTTTGAGTTTTAGCTCCAACACTTACTAGCTATATGATCTTAGCAAGTGACCTGAGTCTCAGTCTCCTCAGCTGTAAAATAGTAATATAATACCAAACACTTCACAAGGTTGTTACAAGAGCTATGAGATTATGTTTATAAAAACAATTTGTGAGCCATAAAGCATTACACAAATTTTATTCTATGTAATAATAACAGCACTACATGCACCTAAAATACAGGGAAGCTGCTAAAAATTCTACAGACTTTACTTATACCTATGAAAATGGGATAAAGGATTTCCCTGAGGATTACACCCAAAAGGTATAGTTATTACTAAGTTACTCTTTTATTTAAAAAATAATTACTAACTATTCCGACTAATTATGAAAATAAAATGAATGCTACCAGCTGTCCTGCAAAAAAAAATTTAAATGAAAAAAGAGCTGCCGCCACATTGTACAGATTATTAATAGCAATTTTGCTTCCAGGTTCTCTAACTGAATATTTCATCAAACATATACAGTTTTAGGTAGCTGTCTCAACGCCTTGATAGAGAGTAACATTTTCTAACATAACATATAAAAATAACTCACTCTTGGCACAGAGAGAGGAATAAAATGGTTAAGTGTTTCCGAGGTCAAATTATTATAGTCATGTTTCATTTTGTATTGAAATTACATCAATGTGTAAAGTATCAGACACTCCCACAATGAATTCTAAGCATGAGAACATATTCCAAAGGCAAAAGGAATGAATTTTAGATTATTCAAACCATTATTCTAATAACTACTACAAATTCTAATAGGCCACACAACTACATAATAAACCTATTTCGAATGGTAATTCTAAAAAGTAAACCCAAGTAGCAAATGTCTAAGATAAACCAGTACTATCACACTTTAAAATAATCTGGTCTACAGTCCTTTTACGTAGTCTTCAACTATAAATAGCAAGAAGCATAACTGCTTACTCCTTTTTGGTTTCCTCAGAAGACTTGTTTTCTTCCTTCTCTTCATTCTCAGGTTCCCCCTTTGGCTGCTCTGCCTCACTAGATGTAGCAGGTGGAGTTTCATTCTCTTGTTCTTCTACGGTAGAGATAGATTCCTCTGAACTTACGTCTGGTTCTAAAAAATCAGGTGAGCAGAATTGCAGCAAGTAGACATATTAGAGCCTGAGTCAATAAAAGGGTAAAAGTTTATCTTATTAAACAGATAAGCCAAATGTTCCATTTAAAAGATGGATTCTAAAATGAACAAAATGAATGAATGCAGTTTCCTTTCCTTCTTTACATTATTCAAGTTGCTTATGCAAGGGGGTGTTAATCCATTACGTGAAGAGACAGACCAGGAAATTATACAGAAAGGAAACTCATTTTACCCCAAATCAAATATCTTGATTAGTCTACTCTGCAACATTGATGAGATTCATAATTAAGAAATTAGCCATTTCATAATTTAACAGACAAATCCTGGTAAGGGAATAAATAATAAAAAATTAACATGTATTTTCCGGTGAAATGGTTGGGGCAAGAGTAGAAATATGAGAGAGGGAATACTGAGATCTGCAGTTGCTTGTCTGTGCCTTTTCTCAGTATGTCCCTGGGCAGCTACTATAAAACACATAACCCCAAGAAATGGTTAAGCAGGCACTTCGAAGAACCCCAGTGGCAAACATTAGGCAAAAAATAAAAATATATGCTTAATGAGTTTGGTCATTTAAATTACGTGAGCTAATTACTGGCAAGACGATGAAGACTTCTTTATGGCCTTCAATATAAATAAGAGAATTAAAAGATGCCACTTCCTTTTTATAACCAAACCACATACATACAAATCTAAAAGAATTTCTAGTTTCTCAACAAATTAAATTTCTAAACCACAAATTTAAGGATGATCAATTATCATTTGTAAATCTCATCACAGATTATGGTTTGCAACCAGACTTGCATGTAAATTGAAACTCCTCCCATATACGTTCAGCTAAAATTGAGGTGTTAGAGTCAGACACCCCTGAATCAAGTTCAGTCTTTAAAACTTTCTAGCTTGATATCTTAGGGCAAGTTTTTTGACATCTTCAAGTCTCAGTAACCTTACCTCACAGAATTATTACGAGGATTATATAAAATGTATTAGGGGAAGCCTGTAGACCAGCAGTTGTACTATATGAGTGATATCCATCCTCCTCTGGCCTCCCCTGCTGTTTCTAAAACTGTTTTACAAGGCATTAGGGCTAGAACTTCATTATAACAATGATTATCTGGCGACACAGATAACTGCAAGATGTATCTTTTACCATGATTATCTTTTACTGCTCCTTGCCCCAATGATTTGCCCGTGGGTAAAAATTTACTATTAGTCATGTTTATTTATTTATATATTGTCTTACTCCAAAAATGATGAAAAGCTAAGAATGGTTTATCAGGTTTTACTGTAATAAGCTATACATTATTTTCCCTTAAGAATAACTGCTTAATAGTTGATGGCTTACTAAAAGGTTCAGCCACTCAACAGGTATAGATTATATGTTATGTATAAGACACTCATTAAACTATATTGTCTGCCTTCCGTGTAAAATGTAGGATTTATAAAATTTAAAATATGAATGATGCCCAATTATTTTCATATATAAAATACTGTAATGGGATAAAGAAGATTAAACAAACATACAACCTGTGAAGTGACTCACTGGTCCTTTATAAATTCGTGGTTGACCTTTTTTATACCTTATACCTGAATCCTCTGGCATGTATTCTGAAAACTGACATTATTAGTGATTTAGTGACTTCAGGTGTCTGTTAAACAAATGAGGATCAAGATGGGCCACGAAGTGGCTTATCTCAGTGCTGGACAAAAAACCAAAAAAACCAAAAAAAAAAACAAAACAATCTTCAACTCACCAGTACCTATTATTTTTTTAATATGCTGATTCCCATGTCACCTAATGTCTTAGGCCAGGGTACCCAAATTGCTTATAGTACTCATCTGGGGATTCTGAGACAAAATCCAGGCTCAGCTTGAAAAGATTATATCCCTGGTTCACCAAGGGATAAAGGCAACAAGGGTGCATATATTTTTAATTCCTAATCTACGCTGGTCAGCAAATATTTGGTTCTAACAGCCATGACAGGGACGGCACCATGTGTTCATCCTGGAAAACCTGAAATAAAAGGCACGGGAGAAAGGAAAAAAGGATAAGGAAAGAAAGAAAAAGGTCATGAGAAGAAAAAAACAGGGAAAAGGAGAAGAGGTGGTTAGAGATGCCGTGAAGGAGCACTAGTACTCCAGGTTGATGGTTCTACATTCCTCTCAATTCATATGCTCCCACTTCTGTCTGGTCAATCTTCTCTCCACCAACACCAGTTAGAAACCAATGTTTTGATCACCCATTTTCTCCCTTAAGGCTTTCTGATGATTTCTGGGTGAGTCTTCCACTATCCATCCTGAAGGCCCAAGTCCTCCATTCTTTGAATCTTCATTCCTATGAGACTGTATGCCCAGAAGCTACTCTTTGCCCATTCCTGTTCTCTCCAATCATTTTTCTGTTTTTAATTTAAGAACATGAGATTTTCAACTTCCAAAAACCTTTAGAGACAAGATGAAACTTTTACTTTGCCCACGTGGTCTGGAAATGACATATCGAAGAGGTACCACTCCCTCTTTAAATGTTCCCCCAAAACACTTAGCCATTAAAAAAAAAAAAAAAAAAATTAAGTTCAAGGGAATTTATGGGACACTCCAAACTGGAGTAGAAACTTTCGCCGTTTTAAGTTGTCCACTGCTTTACTTTACCTGGCTTTCCTTCCTCCCCTTCAGCAAGCTTGTTTTTGGGAGGAGTTTCCCGGGTAGAATTCACAGCTCGACGAATCGGCATGGCGCTCTCTTCCACCTTCTAGGAAAAGAGATGGCCATAATCACACACACATAAAAAAACTTTCTCTCTTTCCCAAGGGGCCTAATGGGTGTCAGAAGATGGTGAATTCTAAGTCTACTCCAGGATTGGATGCAAATTACTTTTAACGTTTTTTTTTTTTTTGAAGTAAAATATGACTTTTTAAAAGTACTTTTAAAGATATTTTCTTTTGGCAAGAATTTCATATGGAAACAAATAATTACCCTTGATTTGGAATAAATATAGACGGTTGGAGGTTTTCTCAGAAATTTGAGGGGAAAGGGAAGATGAAGAGCTTTGTATATCTGATTTTTTCAGATCTACAACCCAGACTCCCCAAAGTAGGGGAAGGAACATGTACCAAGAAGGACCCAGCAGAGCCTGAAGTCAGGGACTGATCCAAGAGTGAGCTTCAAGAATGTGTCAGCCCCTACCTCACCTAACTTGTCCGCGTGGATCAGCTGAGCTCCTACTATAAGTGGGAGTGCCTTAGGATGGACGAGTTCACCTTGAGACGTATCAGTCGCCATTTAAAATAATTTCTAGGCCCCAGTACAGGTTACACTCTGAAGCCTCTGCTGTTAACCACAAGGATTTTTCCTAATGGTTTCAGTGTGGTGAAAAGTCAACCTAAAGCACAGAAAAGACCTGGTGTGAAGATTAAAAGAAACAAAACTAAACTAAAACATCTAAATTTAATATACATCCAAAGGGAACAAAATTTCACTATAATACTTATAGTTAAGTGACAGATGACTTGTTCGATTTTAACAGAGGACTTGATCAATTATCATTCAGAAAGGTAATATCTCTATCAAAATATAGACTATGTAAAGCAGCGACTAAGACAAATGCACAAGCCACAGCAGCTGTTGCACCTTCCACATGAACAAAGGCGACAAGGAAAAGAAAGCTTCATAAGGAACCAAGTCCCATCCCATCCTGCTACCATCAGGAACTTAGGACAGAATAAGGAGCTTAAGGAACAGTTTAGTCAAATGTTTACTCAAAGATCTGTTTACTAAGGAGAAGACTTCTGTTGTTATTGTTCTCAAAGGGGTTGGGAAAATTACCTGTAACCTTAACTCCACCTCCACTGGAGAAGTAATACAAGGGGCAAAAAACACTGCTGAAGAACATAACATTCTAAAAGCCTCCAGACCCAGAGAAGCAAATTTAGACTGCCACCTAGGAGAACAGAGCATGCTTCTAACACCTTATTTGTTATATTTTTAATGTAGGCAAAACTAGCACAGAAAAACATAATTAAATATTCAAAGATAAAACCCAGGTAGTCACGCAAATTTACCTGATCATTAACACTCTCTGACCCCCCAAAAACTTCATTTGGGACTCAACGATACTTTATAATAATAATTGCTCAAAATATAAGAAAATGATGACTTAAGTGTTCAGATCTCTGTACTAAAAATGAACATTAATTAACAAAGAGTTGGCAGACTTTAAGCTCTAACCCTGTCTAAGAATTTAAGAACTTTCCATTTGTCAGGTAATAGCCCCAAGCTACAACTAGGACAAATACAAAACATTCATAGAGAATGCTTGCTTTCACATTTACAGGGAAAATCTCTGGGAATACCAAGAGCAATACCAGACTTGTGAATTGTCAATCAGCGGCAAGGAAAGAAGCTGAAAGAATTCAAGATGTATAACGCACTATACTTATTATCAAGAGTAAATCAGAAATATCCATGAATACTTAAAATTACCAAATGTTACTAAAACTACTTAAAATGCTCATATAGCAATTCGCTTAATAATTACAAAATACAGAAAGACAAGTAGTTGTTTTCTGATCTGTGAAAAAAGGCCACGCAGGGTTTAAAGGCATTGTTTAGGTTTGTGAAACCTAAAAATATATTTTGAAATAACTGCAATATATAGATCTGCTCATTCATCTATTAACTGGTACTAAGTAAATATTTTCCTTAATAAAAAAGCTATGCAAATTTGTTGATATTTTTACATGTGAACACTATACAGAAGTAAAACATCACAACCAGGTTATTTTGGTAACGTGATATTACTAATGAATTCATCTTTCCTAACCCATGATATCACACTAGCTAGGTTGAAAATGCTACCGTAAAGTCAACAAAACCTTCAGAAGTCTCTGTTAACAGGGTATATTTAAAAAATATTTTCCCTGTAACTTCTGAAAAGTGTCAAAACCTTTCCAGTCAACTGTGTTCACTAATTACCAAAAATTAAAACAAGTTAGAATAAGGAGGGAGGAACAGGAAGCTACTCTTAATGCCAAAGTGACAAAACTGACTAAAACCAGGGCAACAAGAGGTATACGGTCCATAAAGACATCAGACATTATTAACCTAAGGACAAGAATGACAGTTTAAATTAGGCCAGATAAGAAGCATGTCTAGGTTGGAATAACCTCAGAAGCAAGCACAGAAGAGCACAGTGTGAGAAACAAGTTGGTTTGCCATCATCCTGTGAGTGCACGTGCGCGCGCACACACACACACACACACACACACACTCTTCTACTTAAAACCACTCCCAGCCCCTTATTTCCTTAATCTCACTTTCTATTACTCTATCCACCACTCTACTTTCTTAACTAAACACACAGACCTTTTGGCCCTTGGACTGTTCTCTGCTCATCTCTGTACCAGTATTTGTACTTCCTGTTCTCTTCAATTGGAACACTCTTTTCCTAGATACTTCAATCAGGTTTCTGCTCAATGTTATCCCCCCTCAGAAAGGCCTCCCATTCCTCTTATTCTTCAGTTTTCTTTACAGCTTTTAACGCCTCCTAACATTCATTATAAGCTTGTTTACTTGTTTAGTATGTGACTCTCTCCATGGAATGTAAGTGCTACTAAGACTTAAACTCACCACCTTATTCCCAGCACTTAGAAGTGTCCAACACATAGCGGGTGCTGGATAAATACTGGGGAAAAAAAGTTGAATGAACAATGACATCTGATAGTACTTATTACTATGTTCATTATATGTGAAGAACACTTAAAAATAAAATCCAGTTATGGGATAAATATTAAGAAATGTTTGCCTCAGCTCTGATTTTTCTTAATAAAGGTCATGGAATTTAAAGCTTCAGTCTATAGTACTATTTTTTTTTTTTTATCATAGGTTGGTTACTGAGTTATTAATAAGTCCACTTCATTACAGAGCTAACAAAACTATATGAATGTTAATTCACACCGCCTTTACAACACCATGCACTGATTAAACTTCTGTTGCTGCACTTCTGAACAATGAGACTTTTAGGCTGCCATGCTTCGTTCCCTGGCAGAATTCTCATCTGCTGGTTCACTGCTGCATATTTGGTGCCTAAGAACATACCAGACATAGAGTAGGTGCTCAACAATTATTTGTTAAATAAAAGAAGAACAGATGAAACTTAGTAAGTTTTCACCTGGGTTCCTCTATGTGCTAAAAACAATCTGAGTTTACCTGTGGTTTATGTGGTCCTCCTGTGGTCATCAATCTGTTTTTGATTTTATAATTGAACGTCAGATTAACAATACAAAGATTTGCTTTTGTCAAGACAAATGCTAAATTATCTTAAAGCAGACAATAAAAAAAAATTGTAAAAAAGCCCTGAATTTCAGTTTTAGATAACTTTCTCTACATTGAGAAAGCAATAAAAAAAGAAGTAGGATCTTAACAGTGTATTTCAGCTCATTGATATCCTTAAAAATAGGCGTTTTAGGAAAAGTACTATTATTTCATATTTTACCATAAAACGTATGCAATACATTATACATTACCACGTGATTAGCTATGCAATAAATCCGTCAAATTGTTTCCAATCTCAAATCTTTCTCTATATTCAGATTTAATGAGCAATGTCATAAAAAGCACGCCTGTAATCTGACTGCTAGCAACGTTTTTTTCACTTCCACATTTCAATAAATCGGTATGTACTCAATTAGTGTCTATCTCGGGTACAGAGAGTATGGGCACTACATGGCCTTCTTCACAAGATAATCACAATCTAACTGGCTGCAGAGTTAGGATTTTCATCTATATATTATAAGTTCCGGGCACTTCCTCCACCAGAAATTCCCGCCGTCGATCTTCCAAAAAAGCTTAGAGACCAACAAACTAACCAACCCTTTAAAATAGTACTTCTACTTTGAAACACAATACACTGACTTTTGAAAGAAAGAGTAAAATTTTAAAAGCTCGTAAGTTTTTTGCTTATATCTAATTGAACAAAATTAAAGCACCTTCCCAAATAAAACTAATCACTAGTCTAACTTCAATCTAAGACAGCATACTCATAAGGTCCCAAGTGAATTCCTACATGTATTTCTAATTGGATTCTCACTTTTCAACGTAACGAAAATCAGGACATAACAAAAACAGAGAAAATTTATTCGCGGAAGAGGCAGTAACGTTCACCTTGTCCAGTCCGCTGTGCTGGAGAGAATACTCTCTCAAGAAAGTTAAGTGACTCATTCTCGGTCACAGAGTGGTCAATTAGGTATTAAAACTTAGATCTGGGGCTCTCACTTCACCACTCCTGCCTCCTCCTCTTTACAAAAACTCATATTCACCACCTTGACTTTATTAAGACTACATCGTCTAAAGTGCGATGAGTAACAAGCTCTAGGAATGCCATACGGGTAAACGAAAGCTTAGGCCCGTGTCGCGGCAGCGACGGCAGCAGCGGCAGCAGCAGCAGCGGCGGCGGCGGCGGCAGCAGCAGCGGCGGCGGCAGCGGCTGCGATGCCTTTTCAGCAGCGCCAACAGCTCTGAAACACTCTCCTAGACTGCTGAGGAACATGGTGAAAAGAACAGCAGAGACAAAGAGGCAGGGAGCGGCCGGTGTGGTGCGCGAGCAGAAGGCGGGGGGAGAGCGAAGCTAAGATGAAGGCAGCTAAGCAAGTGACGGGAGGGCTCGGCGGCGGCTGACACCGGGGGCTGCGGCGCGGCTGCAGCTCTGGGCGCACGCTTGCGTACGCACGCGGCCGAGGCCGAAGCCACCACCCGGCAGCGACCGCCCGCGCCACGCAAGTAGCCGCGGACCGCAAGCACCAGCGGTCCGCGCACTCA